AACTGCAGAAATAAAATACCTAAACGTTTCTCAAATTAATTCTATATTTCYACTAAAATAAATAAATCCTCAAATRGTATAAAATATAACTAAAAYGTAATCATATAGAACCTATATTGGCCTAATAAAATGTCTAAAACTACTCGGCATATAGTTGTATACTTGTTCTATTATGTGTGTGTAAATTAAACAACAAGATATTATAATTTATAAAATGTTAATTTTGACTTTTTAATTCAGCGAAAGTAATTTTAAATGAATTAAATTAAACTTTGGCATAACTTTTTTTCAAAATTTATTGTATTATTAACTATTTATAAATAGCTATAAGTAATTTTTTATAGAATCCTTATTATATTATATATACTTATATTAAAAAGGATTTTATAACTTTTAATCTTCWCGTGTGTGCTTATTGAGCAGGTACTTACTGTATTTTTATCTTAAWATAGTTTTCTAAGCAATGTAATTCAAYATTATGCACTCAAAATATTTTATTTTTCAACTGTAACTTTGYCGAGTTAACGTAGTATGATGAAAAATTAAATATTGATACTATTATATTATGAAAAACATTTATATAGAATGTATAGTATAGCATATCTTAATTTACGCGTATAGTACTTATATTGGTATTTATTTTAATTTTAATTTTAAGAGATTTCCTTATTTGCTATAGGTATATCCTCACGTCTCGGACGAATCGTCAGATCTCCTACCCCTACCACTATCATCGSTCTCTACACTCACTAAACTGCACTCGAACCCTTGTCGTATATGAGCAGCATCGGTGTATATACTGTTAATAACCATTAACCACCTTGTCACGAGTCGCGCGCGGCAAATATAATATTATTATTATTATTAATAAACACGGGAATAAGTAGTTGGCGGCATATTATTTTATATTAGTCCCCAATAGAGTGTTGACATATGTGTTGTTTTTTATATTCTCTTTACAGTTTGTGTGTATATATATAAATATATTATATTGCACTGTATAGGACGACGACGACGACGATGGGGACGGGCGAGCTGCTGCTACTGCTGTCAGACGAACAAATTGTACTCGTCCGCGTGAGAAGCCAGAAAGACGCGTCGCGCGCCGCGACCGAGATGATTGTGCCGCAGGAAGACGAGACAGAGAAAGAAAGAGAGAGGAAAAAAAATTCACCAAATCGAGACACGAACCACATGCTGCCGGCTGTCACTCTTCGGAAAACGCGTCCGCCGACTAGGCTTATCAGGTGACGGACGGACGGACGGACGTGCGTGTATCTATCGCAGCGGCTCACAGTCCGTCGCCCATTTATGTGTATCTTGTGTGTGTGTGTGTGTGTGTGTGTGTGAGTGTGTTGTGTGTGTGTGTTTGCGCTGTCAATGTGTGTTTTATACGTATTATAAATTATTATTATTATTTTTGAATTTTTTTCAATCCTTGTATTATAATMGTAACGTCCAGCGAATATTCGAAAATTATATACGTTTAAACAATATTATAATGGCATATGTAATATCATATATATGTCTAATATTATTATATTTTTTTTAGTTTATATGAATTACAATAATTATATGTACAGAGTGACCCACCGTGATTTCCCACTTTCCTGTGTTAGTTTAATTAGAGACAATTCAATAGGCCACTTTGTACCTATATATATATATATATATATATATACATACATAATAGGTACCTATGTGCTACTTGAATTAAAAAGKGACGCATCGCTGAATATCGAGTCGCATCACAATATTAATATAAAAAAAAATCCTATTTACATAAGTGATGCTTCAATTATTGAAGTATACAAAAGCCAACGTCCCATATATTACCTATCTACCTATAGTTTTAGCTAATTGGTTTTATAAATATCATTTGATTTCCATCTTAAATAACACGTTCGAGCACTATGCATTAGTACATATATACTGTTACGTTTATCTTTGTTATATCTTCGATGTACGTAGTGTGCTATAATAATGATATTCTGATACGCGTTACGTATAGCGTATATATTATAGGTATATTATTATTATTATACGTATCGTACAATGGATAATTTGAAATATTTTATCTCATCACTCTTTTAAATGCTATTATTTTTGCATATGCAATTATTATAGTATCGTATATTGTTGTTCACGCAGCGTATTTGCATGTCATGTACCGCAGGGTGATAATATAATATCAGTAATAATATGTTATTACCTCATAAAGCATAACTCCATTATCATGATATTAATAATAATATATTATATATTATAATAAGCTTCGATCATATCGTCTTTGTTAGTCGTTATTGACGAGTTGTCACTAGCGCCATACGTTATTATTAGTGTTTGAAAATTTAAAATTGTGAAACATTTTATWAAATATTTAAAATGTATGAAATATTTTAGTACTATAATTTGTTTTATTTTTAATAACTTTTATTTTTTCATATAATCATGATAATACTTACCTTCAAAATCTTATAATATTAGATAAAACAATCAAATATCAATCATTATTATAGTGTTAGTTTTCTTTAGTTAGGTTATTGATAAATAATCATCATTAATATTTGTATTAGAAAAAATTTCAATATTTCACGTTTTCCTGAAATATTTCATCATTTACTGAAATATTACACAAAAAATATTTCATACTTCAAACATTAGTTATCATTGGTGTAAGTACCAAGAAAAATCGACAACATCTGTAAGTTTTTTACACGCAATTGTCATCTTTATAATACTATATCATTATTAGACAATAACCTCTCGTTGTACGTGTAAGGCGATCAGCCACTTTGTGGTGATTGGTCGTTGTACATTTTACAATAGTATAACATATTTCTGTGGAATTTTTAAGTGTAATCGACGTGGTTTTGGTCGATCGTTCTGATTTCGTCTCCACGATGCGAGCTTTTGGAAGTAGTTTGTTGCAGATATTGTCGGTTTAATAACGTGAATTTATATATAAGTTTATAACGCMTACTATCTGTACGCTGTAATGGTTAAAATATTGTATTAGTATTACAAAAATATTATTATTCACTAACTGCTGTATACGCGTTCGATACGATKTCGCTTGACTCTTATTATAATATTACTGCCCTAATATGTACCCATTAATGTAATAATGTATAACTACTATACTATTACAATTATTATAGAATAGCTGCATTATTTTACATAATACTTAATTTCTCCATTTAACAACGTGTAATTCGATATTGTATAAACCAACAAAAAGCTGTACCTATATTAAATTGATATTTGCTTTAATCATAATTCATTATTGTACAATTTTTAGGTWGGTACCTATGTATATATCATGTAAATAGTTAATGAAATTATTGATGCGTTTGTGTCGTAAGTTTCTGTTATTATACACCTCGAACACATTTTACATCAATTAAAAAAATTTATTGTATCCGTATTTTATCCTAAATCTCAAACGTAATTGCATAAAAGCAGAACAGACCAAAAATAAAATGAATTTTCTATGCTCGAACCACTTTAAAATAATGGCAATTAAAAATATTCGTACCTATGGATACTGAATGAAACTTTAATAGATATTATTTATCATATAGAAAAAAGTTTTTAGATGCTTAACATTTATGAAAAACTTGAAGGAAAAATGAAAATCAATTAATATGAGCACGTAGGGCATACAAGGTCATGCGTAACATATAATGGGAGAATGAAATATATACCGGTGAATTTATATTGGTAGCTTATTATTATTTATAATATTCAAATTAAAAACTTTWTAACTAGTCAAATTTTTTTTTAATTATATGAAACAAAAAATTAAGAACGTCTAGTTTTTTTTTTTTGATGTAAAATTCGTTTGTGACTATTCCCGTATAATATGGTATGTGTACAACATATGTATAATAATATTTATAAATATAGTATATTCGTATTATCGGTATGTACACCTGTTGTAAATCTCGTTTGAGTAATATGTTGTACGTGCAAATAMCTATAAATAATATTTCATTGTATTTTATATTACTCGTCGACTTTTAATAGTACAACGATTTTGATCAAAATAATTTGTAAATAACTTACTACCTATATAATAATTATGTAAACATACATGTAAACGAAATTATGCAATTTCACGTTTGATTATAATATTATATAATAAATAATATAATATATCATATTGCATTATATGTACAATTTTGTGGTTTTAGTATATATATTTTGACTATTTAAGAGGTAACCTATATGTTATGTCTCTTAGCCGATTTCCYGTCAATTCCTAGAACCAGTAACCTGACCTATATTACCTATAGAATCGCATGCCACAACTCCACACTCGTCATTGTGAGGCAGGGCCGTCCCTACAATTTGCGGGGCCCACAAAAAAAATTCATCCATTCCACCAAAAGGCAATTATTACACTTCCGTAACCTCTCCCATTTCAAAACCAAGGGTGCCAGCAGGGRTTCATGGCCACTCACCTATTTTATTTAATAACAATTGGTATGTAACTTGAAAAAAAAATAGTATGTGCTGTATTATCAGGCTTTTTAAATTGGTCCCACTCTCGTTTATATTTTTGCAGGCATGCACCCTTATTCAGTATGTAAATTATTTTTACCTATTACCCTTACCAGTACCTCACTTAACCATTTTGCATCAAAGTATCAAACACATATATATGTTATCTATGATTAAATTGCTGTATGTTTTTATAACAGATTGATAAAATTATTTATTATAGGTAACGATAGAAATAAAAATAATTAAAAATTAACTTTTCTTGATTTGAGATCAGTAAATGYGCAAATAACATCATCCAAGTCCAATCCGTCTACTATTTCATGTTCTATAGATATTATTGCTAAATTTGTAGTTTTCTCTTGACTTGGTGTTGTTCTTAAGTAATTTTTTACCAACTTTAATTTTGAAAACGATCTTTCAGCTGTTGTAACTGGTAATATGAGCATAATCCTTAATTGGAACATGAGGATACACATCCCTAACACTGTTGCAAAGGATTTCGTTTAAGACTCTTAAAGGTGAGGTACCTTTATCAATTATTACTGAAARAAGGCAAAGTTCATCATACGATTCCGCTCCACTAATGTCCATGTTTTCCCCTATTTGTAACATAATCTGTACATCATGGCAACTTTTTAACAATATTTTTGAATCAGCCGTCGATAGATTACCAATATCAAACAGAAATCCAAAATAATTGTTAAAATGATCTAATTGGGCGAATCTTTGATTTATAGATACAATTCCTTGATCTAAAATTGGTAAAAAAAAAAAATGATATTGAAAGTAGAAATATATAAAATGATACATGAACGACCGTGATGGTAATAATTAACATTTAACTGTAAGTTGACAGTTGTCAGTTGTAACCATATTCAGATATTCTATCATAATATCATATTTAGTAATTTAGTAATTAGTACAACACTATAATAGCCGCAGCCGTGCAAGTGCCTAATCAGATAACAAAACACGTACATTATTGTGTACAAATTCTAATTCTAGAAACAGGAAAAATATTCCTCATTATCATTCGATGGAAACGGCTTGATTACAATAATATAAAAATTTGTTTAGTACCTACACTAGAATACTTTTATTATGGTGTATACACTGTGTCACTGTGAAAGTATTTCGTTCTTGATTTCATTTAATTAATAAAATCTCAAATTATATAATATGTAATATATGCAAATCGTTGTACTTAAAGAAAACTTGGGATTTTTCATGTGTATGAGCGCGGGTCCTAAATGAGAAGTCCAAAGCGTAGGCCCCGCTAACCCCTGCCTAGGGACAGCCCTGTTGTGAGGGCGTATATTGCAGTGCGGAAGGTATCAAAACATGACATACGCATATCATCATAAATCGTCATAATTATAGTCTAATTTGTCTGACCCAATGTGTTCACACCTTATTGTCGAATATCAACAATATAATAGTCATAATAGTATGATTTTGTGTGTATATAATTTATTATAATAACATGTACGCRGCAATATAATTAAGGGGGTTCTCTGTTCGTCGTGACTATTTCTGGTCGCGCTCGCGACTACACATACGTCCGGTCGAATATTATAATATTATTATTATTATCATCATCAAACCCGAATGGATATAAATCCGTCGTCGTGTTTCCGATGGTCCACGGCTACTGTAGCCAGATGTGTCGCGTCGGTGTAAATTTAAAACGCCGCCGCCGCTGTCACCGCCGCAGCTATATGCCGTGCCGCTGACTGTTCGTATCAAAAAGAAACGATGGTGGATGCCTGTCATCGAGTTTTTCGCACTATATAACATCACCAAAAGTCAAAACGGTTCATCTATTATATATATATATATATATATAATAGTATTATATATTTATGTGTGTATATACCTACTAGAGGATGTCATATATTATGCGATATTAGTGTGCCTGTATATTAATCATACATCAAACAACGACGCCGCCTTAAATATATATAAAAACAATAATAATAATATTATATAGTTAGTTACCTATAGGCTATGAAGCAATAGGTATGTTTATAGATCAACCAAAGAGTATAATTACGTTATAATTATAAATTATGGGTGTTTGTGGTGTTGTTTGTCCCTTGTGAATAAGTCCCATAAACGTYGATCTGTATAAAATATATGTTTTGACCTTCCGTYTAGGAAGTACATCMTATACCTACACCCATTTTTTTTCACACCCAGAGCTCCACAGTGCTTAAAGTATATAATATATATGTATAATATCATGAATAAAGAAATTAAATTAAATTAAATTAATATATATTATAACTTAGTAGGTACTTAACTTTTATATTATATACATTAATGTATAAAATCTAAAACATCTATAGGCACACTTTTCATGTGATTTCTTTTTAAAAAAAAAACCCCTAACGAACAAATTATATAACAGAGAAAATAACATTTAGCTTAACTTATCTATTATAGAAGCAAAATTATTAAGTTATTTTTTTACAACAAATGTTGTATAATAATTATTAATTTAATTAAAAATGTGTTTACATTAAACACCAAAAATCAATAAAATATAATAATTATAAGCATATAATACTTATATTTAGTATATGCCACAAAATAATGTAATATTCTACCATTAGTACACTTTTTTACATATCKAAACATTTTATTTTTTTATATCTATTTATTAGATAGTACCTATAATATAAATATATGCTACTTACCTTAAAGTAATAAATACTAATAATAATATATTTTATTTGATCRTCATTCTTATTATAGCTAAAGTCACTTAAAGTTAAAATTTACTTTAGCTTATGCATTTAAGGTAGATTATATAGTATGCCTAATTAGGRGTTTGAAGTCTTAAATAATTTAAATAATTTTCCATTTTAGAGT